TTTGCACTGTACTTAGGAATAATCACATTTAAAGCAGCTTTACAACGGCTGCACTCAGAGTAATTTTTTTTCCCCTTGAAGCAACAACACAGGAGGCAAGGCAAGGAAAGGCAAGTTTATTTGTAATGCACAATGCACACAAGAAAAAAAGATAGCCACACAAGGGATTAAAATATTATACAAAATCACAGTATATTAAAGAGAGTAAAGATAAAATCCCTCAGTTGTATGCACAGCTAATCAGAAATGTTTTCAACCTGGATTTGAAATAAATTTGTTGACTATCATTAATGAATTAACTATTTAAATAATCGTTGATCGAGTAACTTGTCCTAGAAATAAGGTAGTTTCCCATCACCCTCATATCTACTGTATGTCAAAGCAAACCAGGAGATTTGATTATCGAAAGCAGTGAAACATAAATTCAGAATCATAAAAAAAACGTGGCTCATATCTATATCATTGTTGCATATGGATAACCTTTAGAAACTTAAACGGCAAAGATCCAAAATAGGCTGAGGACTCACAAATGAGCCATGATGAGAGCGTTCCAGGGATCACATCCAATTCAACTCGCTGCTCTCCGCCGCTCTTCAGCCGGACAGGCCATCACCACAGATCAGCCTCTACACATGAAACCATTCCCTGCACAAGAGGCTGTCACAATAATACCATGCTTCCACCGTAGTGCAACAGCCTTAGATTACTGCTTCTTCCGTCTATATCTGTGCATTACTGTCGTTTTTCCCACTTCACTCTAGGATGGTTCCAACACTCACAAAATGGTGGTACACTAAGTTCACACCGAGGCAAACGGAGGGAGCACTGAAAAAGCATTCCGGAAATACTAACAAAGCCTAATTCATATACAACATAATACTTTGCCTCATGTTGAAGTGCTACACATTTAATAAAACAAGGGCGTTGTATTTGTCCATCCATCCATTTTCTTCCCCTTAATCAATTTTGCGGTCGGGGGGTGGCAGTCAGAGCTGTACCCAATTCACAGGTCCATTGGAGGAAGGTCTGAGCTGCCTAGATGTTTCAGTGGGGGCTTCAGGCAAAGTGGGGTTAGGTATCTTGCCCAAGGACACAACGACAGCAGTGGGAGTCGTGAAGTAGGTCCAGTGGTGGCCTAAAACCATGGATCTATTATAATAACTGGATAGGGTATTACTACCTTGGAGCTGAAGAACCACGTGCTCGGGGGATTCTTGCGGTACTGCAGACTAAGCCAGACTAAATTCACGTGGGCTACGCAGAAATTTTTTCCTTAGAACTCAATGTAAACTAAAACAGCTCAACCTCAGCTGACAGAGAACCTATAGCTTTCATAAAGGTCGGATTTTGTGAGGATTTTAGTGTCCTTTGTCATCTCGAACTTGTTTTCTTCTTAATCCTTTGGTTTTCTTCAAATCCACACATCAGTGCCACAAACTCTGCTTGTCTGGCTCCCGCTCTAACTCCCGCTCTAACTCCCGCTCTAACTCCCGCTCTGATCAGCAGTTGTGATTGGTCAGAGTGCGGTCGAGCCTCTCTGTGCACGTGCATGAGAGCCACACACGCATATTTGGCGCAACGCATCATGGGAGATGATCCACTGCGCAGAACCGGGAGGACCAGACGATGCCCAAATACAGGGAGTGATTTGGCGAGTTCCGCTAATATGTCAGCGACCGTGCCGGCACATGCCCCACTGAGCACAAACCATTCATTTGAATATGGCGCAATCTTGGTTCGCCGGGGCTTGGCTCAAACCCACAACCTTCAGGCCCAAAGTAAAAGTTAAATAGCAAAAAAGTAATTAAATCGAGTTCCTAAACAATTTGATTCACTAGTTCACAGCCTGTGTTTTTGACCTCACATCTTTAGATCAGATTATTCAGATGGATAAGTGACAAAGAGAGGACCACCTTTGTGAAATAGTGGCTCACAGGGTTTTTTTCTTACAAGTATTTAAGAGATAGCATGTTTTCTAAGAGGAAGGCGGCAGGTTGGGGTCTCTCTAACATTTTCTAACCTTTTTTGGACGAACAACATATATTATTTACAAATTATTCACAAAACAAAAAAGTTAGGTACCCCAGCTTTAAGGAGCATCAAGCACCGGAACAAAAATACTGCAGTCAAATCACCCGTGCAGAACCTCTCATCCATACGTCTCATCACTTCATTTCTATTATTAAATTTGGTTTAATATACTATGAATAGTGTTGTGTATGTGAGAAATATCCACATGTCGTGTATAAAAATAGTCTATAATAGCCTCATTGATATCCTCCATGTTCGCAATACTGTGTGAAGCTCCATATCTCCCACCAGCAGACTCTAAACCCTGAACCAGCCCCACACTTTCATCTCGGCACACACACACACACACACACATATACACACACGTAAACGCGCACACACCCTTCTGCAGCTGAAGAAAGTGTGCTTTACTTCTTGTATTACATTCTCACTGATGTTGTTCGGTTTGTTTAAGCACTTTGTAAAATATAGCATTTGAACCACATGGTGTCTGTACTGGAAACCACAAGCTTGTATGATATATGATCACATTCAAGTCCTTCCAAAAAGCTTCTTGGAATATTGGCCTGGAATTCTGGCCCGTTCCTCCTGACAGGACTGGTTTAACTGAGTCATGTCTCTCATAGAAACTCTATAAAGTAAAGAAAATTATCACAGGCTCACTTTTGATCACGTCCTCATGTTGTCGATCCACTAAAACAATATGAATGATCGCCATCTGCTGGTTGTTCAAAACTTGAAACTGGACACATTTGAAGAGACAGAGAACACAATGAATTCGAGAGCTTTCTCCCAGTTTGGGAGAAAGCAAACTTTGGTTGTGTTGAATTCACATTTCTCTGAAGGTGTTTGGAAGCTAGTATGAAGCTCTTTTATGTGACGATCGTGTGCATTTTATTGACATGACCCGCCAGCCCGCAGAGCAGTATGGATTGTAGAGAATTATCCTTTGTCCACTTTGTAACATCATGGGTGCTACTCTGGGGAAATCTCTTCGTTCTTCAACGCAGGTGTGTCAAAGTAAGCAGTACTGCAGGGCTGCTCTGTGCACCTTTTTAGTAAACTTTTAACAACTTTTTAGCGCGTTTTTATTGTTCAGTTTTTTAATATATCTGAGTGTTTTATCTTTTTAATTCAGTGGTTTCAGCAAATAGCACTTAGTCCCGACTGAAACCCACTAGTAGCACAGAGGCTAACACAAGCTAACGAGGACATGGAAAGTGACAATGAAATTGGCTCAAACATGCACAATATTAGTCGCCTCACCTTGGAGCTCCGTGAGAGCGACCGTGCCACCATTGCAGATCTACGAAAAGAAGTCCTTCGTCTCACCGCAGAGTTGAATGAGAAACAATCTCTAGTATCCAAACTTTTTGAAGTCGCTGGTGGGCAGCACTCACGGCTGATGTCACTGAGCGCTGCATATTGTGACACTGTCGTGTGGGAGAGATCCGTCAGCTCCGGACCCTCCTGTTCTACACCTAAGCGCCCGCTTCCGAATAACGAGCCCGCGGACTCCGAGGAGCCATCCTGCGCCGTGGCCCATGTCCTGAGTCTGGCAAACCGCTATGCAGCCCTCTCCACCGACATCCCGGCCCCCTCAGCAGAATCCCTGGACACTGCAGCGTACTCTACTGCTCGAGGATCCAAGTCCACTGCGAGGAAAACGCTCCTAAAGGAAGCAGTCCTCAGGCGAAAGAGCGGTCCACCGGCCATGTTGGCCTGTTCCCCTTCTTTGACCCCAGTGCAGCAGCCTCAGACTGGGGTAGCGAGCCATCATCACCACCGCTCACCTCCACCGGGTCAGCAGCAGCGCCCAGAGCCAGCCCCTCTCACCGCTCCAGCGTCCCCGAGCACACAGCGTGGGTCGCCTGTAGCTGAGAGTCAGCACCCCCGCTCCTCCTCTCCATGTGTTCAGCGGCGCTCAGGCTCGGGTCCTGCTTCGGGTGAACCCGCTGGTTCCGTCCACCGAGCTCCTTCTCCGAGGCCACTCTTCGCCCCGACCACTCTGATTATTGGAGATTCCATCGTGAGACACGTCCGCTTCTTTAACGCGGTCACTCGCTGTATTCCCGGAGCTACTGTACCAGACCTGCTCATACGTCTCCCTCCTCTGCTTCAGTCCCTGCCTGATACCGTTTCCAAGGTAGTCGTGCATGTGGGAATTAACGACATGAAACTTCAGCAGTCAGAAGTGGAAGTGGCGAAAGTCCAATTTCCAGGGCGATTATGAAATCTTTAAAGATGAGTTGGGTGAATTTAACCGGGTTCTACGTAGAACAAGAGAAATGTATTTTTCTGACATTATTGGAGGTTGCAGTAACAATTTTCGTGTTATGTTTTCAACAGTTGGTAGATTAACGAACCCCCCTGTAAAGTTGCCCCTAGAATTTTCCTCTAAATCTAGGTGTAATGAGTTCGCACAGTTTTTCGATGACAAAGTACAAGGAATCAAAAACACTATCACCTCCACAGCACGTATAACAATGCAACAGCCAGAGAAGCTTTTTGAGCTAACTCACTTTGCACCTGTGGATACTGAAACTGTCAAAAAGATAATCATGAGTCTGAGCTCCTCCACATGTAGCCTGGATATATTGCCCTCTAAATTTCTGAAGTCCGTCCTGAGCAGTTTGTTACCTTCACTGACACAAATAGTAAACATGTCTCTGTCGTCAGGAACATTTCCTATGGCCCTAAAAACAGCAGTCATAAGACCTCTCCTAAAAAAGAGCAGTCTGGATCCTGCGGGACTTCAAAATTATCGCCCCATATCGAATCTGCCATTTATTGGAAAAATTCTTGAAAAAGTGGCCTCCCAACAACTTACTGAATTTTTAACAATGAATAATTCTTTTGATATGTTCCAGTCTGGGTTTAGACCCCACCACAGCACTGAGACCGCTCTAGTGAAGGTAACAAACGACATTCGACTTCACACTGATGCAGGTAAAGTCACAGTTTTGGTCATGTTAGATCTTAGTGCCGCGTTCGACACTGTCGACCATGAGATCCTCATGCAGAGACTGGAGGACTGGGTTGGTGTCACTGGCACAGCCCTAGACTGGTTTAGGTCTTACCTGGAGGATAGGAAGTACTCTGTGGAGATTGGAGACTGCGTCTCAGATGATGTGGCCCTGACCTGTGGTGTACCACAGGGGTCGATCCTGGGACCTCTCCTATTTAATCTCTACATGCTGCCGTTAGGTCAGTTAATACAAAGAAACAAAGTGTCCTACCACAATTACGCTGACGACACTCAGATCTATGTCTCACTGACTGCAGGAGAACATGGACCACTGGATTTGCTCCTTCACTGTATCCAACAGATCAGTGACTGGATGCAAAATAATTTCCTCCAGCTAAATGCAGACAAAACCGAAATCATTGTCTTTGGTCCCCAGAAACAAAGAGAGGGCGTCATTTGTCAACTTCAGTCTCTCTCCCTACTTCCTTCAGACAAGGTCAGAAATTTGGGGGTAATACTGGACTCAGACCTAAATTTCAATAGCCACATAAAATCAATAACATCAACAGCTTTTTACCATCTGAAGAACATTGCCAAAGTTAGAAATATAGTGTCCAGGGCAGACTTGGAGATTCTTGTCCATGCATTTGTCTCCAGCAGGCTAGACTACTGCAATGGCCTGCTTACAGGTCTGTCCAAACAGACCTGTAAGCAGCTGCAGTACATCCAAAATGCAGCAGCTAGAGTCCTGACAGGAACCAGGAAGTATGACCATATTAGTCCGGTCCTCAGGTCTCTGCACTGGCTTCCTGTGGCTCAAAGAATAGATTTTAAAACGGCTCTGCTTGTGTACAAGTCTCTCCATGGCCTTGCACCAGAATACATTAGTGACATGTTGGTGTCATATGAACCGGCCCGGACTCTGAGGAGCACAGGGACTGGCCTCCTGCTGGTGCCCAGAGTGAGAACCAAACATGGGGAGGCTGCGTTTCAGATCCATGCAGCTAAGATCTGGAACAATCTCCCTGAAAATGTGAGGGAGGCGTCTACTCTGTCAATGTTCAAATCCAGGTTAAAGACTGTTCTGTTTGCCTGTGCATATAACTGAAGGATTTTATCTCCATTTTTAATGCACTGCTGTCATTTATTTATTTTTTTTAAATTTCTTGTGTAATTTTGAAAGTTTTAATGGTTTTATTCTTTTGTGTGATTTTACTGTTTTAATTGTGTTTTAATCTTTTGTGTGATTTTAATGTTTTAATTGTGATTCTGGTGTTTGTTTTATGTGACGATTTGTGATGTGGACTGTGAAGCGCTTTGTGTTGCCCTGTGTATGAAAGGCGCTCTACAAATAAACTTTGATTGATTGAACTACTCTGTCTTTGTGCTTGTGTCTGATTCAACTTCAAACAGTGATGAAAAATACATTATGTGTCTTTAAAGTGTAAACTTTTGTTTCCACTGTATGTTTTGGAGCGACACAGCCTGACCGTTATGCAAAATCCATATGACAGTTAATTTGTTTTCAACGTTCAACACATTGACCCATTTTCACCCAATCTGCATTAAACAAGCAGAATCACTTATTTTCCATTTCTGTTCCCTATTCTGGAGGAAAAATATGAAATACATCTTATTATTATAACCTACTTTTTGGGGGAGTCCTGGCCCCAGAGGGAGAGCATACACAAACAGTTACACAATGCAAAGAATACTCACAAATACAGGTCAGTTTAATCTTACCACTTCTAAAACAACTAGTTCAACTAAAGAGAGTGAACATCCACAGGGGTCGGCACTTTCAGCTGCAGCTTTATCACCTTTGTTTCATGAACCAATATTCTTCAAAAACACATTAGAAAGACAATTCTCTTTCTTGCTCGTTGCAGATGGATATAGATGGATCCAACTGTTTTTCCGGCATCAAAATTTATGATTTTTTTTCTGATGGCAGAATTCATCAAGTAAAACACAGTGAATACAATTTACTTTTTGATAGATTTTTTTGTTTAATCACACTGGAAAGTAAAAGTAGATGTGAGGATTCTATTGCATGTTCACAGCTTTAGTTTAACCAACGTGGAGCAAACAAAAACAAATATATACTTTTTAATCATGACAATTCATCATTATATTGTAATAATTTTTTACCTAGTGCTAGTATTCAGCACTTGCAGTAGCACTCGCAAAATATCAAGTCTATTTTACAAGTGCTACTTTTACCTTGTACTTTTCCCTTACCCTCAAACTAAACTGAGTCCTCCTTAGCCGTTCCGGGAGCGGCCTTCTTGACTGGTGTCAGAGTGCGTTTTGGTGGTTCGCCGGCTCTGTGCAGAGAGCCTGAAGAGCACTGGAGCAGCATTAATATAGTCGCAGCTTTCACCTTCTACCTGTCAGCCGCTCAACAGTAACAATGTGTTAAAAGACAAGGCAGACGGAGTCGCAGTGACACACAATAATAACGACATAACTTCTATCCTTCTGAGGCTCGGGGCGTTTTGCAGTGATCAAAGGCTGCACTCAAATGTTTGAATAATGCAGAGCAGATAAGGCACAAGTTGGGAGGAAGGGACTCTCTAGGCACCCACTGCTTGAAGGTCATTGCTTTCATTTGTGCCACGCTTCCACATCCATAAACAGTCAAGAGTCCACGCCGGCAGTGAATCAGCAGCCGGTACATGTATTTGCTACAATAGAAAGTTGTAAAGTACTTCAGTAGGTTCTCACATTCCCTGCTGTCCCAAAAAGCGGCTTGTAACTGTCTCTATATAACGAATACATGTGGAATTCATAAAATTAGAATATTGTTCAAAAGTCCAGACTCATTTCACGCAAACTTGAGTCTGCTCTGCATCATCTACTGGTTTCACATTTTGAGTTGAATTACAGAAAAATATAAAAGTTTCAACAATACTACTAATTTTACGAGAATCCCCTGAATACATCATGTAGACCACGGTGTTATAGTAAAACAGTATTTTTGGGCTCAATATTTATCCCATTCTTATTTTATTTTTATCAACAGTAAAATTTCTTCATAGGTGTTGAGGGTGGAATAAGTATCTTTTGCTTTATTCTGTTCTGGATTTTAATTTTAAAAAAGTCCTGGGATTCAGGTTCTGTAAAGTTGTTTAACTATAACAGTTTATTGCAATATAAGGTATCTATGCATCTCTTGTCTTCTTTTTGTGACAGACATCTGAGGTATTTTTAAAAGCGGATATAACTTAAAACAGACTTTTCTCAGCTTTTGGGTTTGTAATAGTTTTTTTTCTCTTGTCATTTACACACACAGCTTTTTTAAGTTATTTGCATGTTTGAGATATTTATGTCCTTATACACCTGCGACGCCATTGCTCTCCCCTCAGTCCTCTGACTACAAGCCCCTACCCCGGGATTTGACTTACTTTCTTTGGACGTTTTCTTTTCTGAATCAATGATATGTGGAGGATTCATTCGAGAGGCTATTCTGACTTTAAGAAAAAATATAAAACCCCATCGCATTTGTCCACGGAGGAACGGAGCCGTACATTTGAGTAGGTTTCTCTGTGGCTTGGCAAAGGGGCGGGGCTAGGAGGCAAAAGGAGACTGAAAGAGGAGCTATGCAACTCATTTCTTTTATAACATAGTTTTAGCGGAATCAATTTTAACTCTAGAGAACAGAATCGGGTTACGTCCTTTTCAAGCATTGACAAGTTTAAGGTCCAGGCAAAGCAGTGATATCTCCATTTATTTTTATCATATTTGTAATCATAAAAAAATGTCAAAGTAATTACAAATTGGCTTTTAGGGTAATCAAGGGTGATATAAATTGACTGGTAAAAATGCTCCTGTTCAGTTGCCTTTTAACTGTATGTCACTGTGGGTTTTCTTAGCATGAAATAATAATACATCTTTATATGTCTTTAAACTCCTACTTTTCTGAGCACTTGTGGGGAACAAACTTGTGTATTCCACCCCCTATGTTTAAATTATTCAGCTTCATTGCTATTTCTATTCTTAGTTCTTCTACTACGGTTTGGTTGGCTGCAGAAGAGAGAGATAACATGCTACAAGGTCCCAGGAGGACTCTACACGTTTGTTAGCCTCACCTCATTAACTCGACATAGGACGCTTGGTAAAAAGATCCACCTATGTAAACAGAAATTAGTTAGATTAGCAGGGGGCTGAGTAATGCCATGAGACGCTCTTAGAAAGCTTGTTCTACCGTGAATACCACTAGAAAAAACAAGCACATAAAGAGCGATTGTAAAGCTGAACAAGACAAAACACTTTTCCGCTGCAATAGTTGAAGATGCCTAAAACACCCAAGATAAGATCAACTTTGAGTGTTTCAATGTGAAGGCGATAAATCAATTGCATTTTGCTCGATATGTCCCATTTAAAGTGAAACAGTATATAACAGCGTTTACATAATTATCCATGGTTCAATTCTGATCCTTCAAGACATAACAGTCTGAATTGGATCAAGTCAAAGAGTGATATGGTCTTCAAAAGCGGATCAAAGGTTTGCACACAGCCCCTTGGGCACTTTCATCGATCCAGAATAGAGGGCGGGAAAAGCCAGTCTCCCATGCACTGAACAGTTTTCACACAGCTGGGTGTTACTGCAGAATGTATGGTGTGGTCAAGTTAGTGTTCATTAAGTAGAAAAATCTATGTTAACATCAATTTCCTCGTAAACCCAAGATAGTTTTCAGTTTGCACAGTCTTCTTTTTTGTTTTGTTTTACGTGCACGTAATGCAGCGCAAAGCCCATCTTTCTGTTTTCCCCTTGTTGTCTCGTCTCCCATCTTGACCATGAGCCAGGCATAACAATGAGCTCCAGCAACACAACTTGTCATCATAGTTTTTTATGAGTGCAGAGCTGCAACACTGAGTAAATTATATAGACATTTAATATAGTCGACCCTAATCACAATAATTAACTAACAATGAGCATGTGATCTATTTCATTTAATCTACACTGCAACAAATGTGACTCCAGAAGATCTCACAATTATTATTCTATTCTATTCCCCTTCCTCTTCTTCAAAATGAAAACATTTGTGAAAATACAGAGTGTAAGATTGACAAATGTAGCTGTAGTTTGTAGTTACTGTTGTTTTGAGTTTCTAGTTGGCCCTGGGCCTGTCCTTCTGGGTGGAATTTGCATGTTCTCCTTGTGTCTACGTAGGTTTCTTTCAGGGACTCCGGTTTCCTTTATACCACAAAAAAAAAGGATAGAAATCTTCCCAATTATGCAATCCGGATTATTTTCACTACTGCTTCATTAATACACACTGTCTGTTGTGGGGAGGGGTAATGTGGTGTCAGCAAATCACAATTACTTTGTTTATTGGAATTTTCATTTATCGATGTATCTATTGAGTGGGGCTTTCTACTTCCTAGTAACAATGATGTTTTGTCTTAGGTACATTCATATTCAGTCATCTTAAAACTTGCATTATTTCAGTGGCAGCGCTTCAAAGGGCTTTAATTCTCCATGAGCAAACACCACATGTTTCCCATTCACTCCCATTACACCGGGCAAACTCTGTCTGAGTGGGAGCGCATATTGACTGAGTGGAAGTCCGTATTTGGGCATCCTGAGGTTACTTCTTTTCCAGTTATTCTTCTCAGATGAATCTCGGCACAGATTTCTCTGACATGCCCTGTTTCAAAAGAAGTGTTGCTGTTATGCCAGTCAAAATAACACATTAATGAAACCACCTTTTGAAGTTTGTTGTGAATCAGATGCTTAAATGTGTGCCTAATATTGTGACTAACGTTGTTTTGGTTCAGCTGACCACATTCATTAGGAGGTAAAATGGCTGTCAGCATGAGGCAGCATCAGCAGAATGCCAAATGATGCAAAAGTGATTAATAATTCACATTGATAAGGCGTCATCTGCCACTGTCCTAAATCGGATTAATTAAACAAACAGTGTGATGTAACAAACCACAAAAGGCCTCCAGTGTTTACGTTCTGAAGCCAAGTTGCACATCACAAAGACATGCCTTCTCCCTATGCGCAGCCCTGAATGGGAAACTAGCACTCTGTGGCTATAGATTCATTTATGATTCACAAGTAAATACATCTAGAAAATATTTTAATAGTTACTTTGCACTCTGTGTCATCTTTCATACGTTTGCAGCTACCTTCTTTGATATGAATTATTGATAAATAGCTGGCTGTTGCATGCTGTGCCACCAACAGTCCTAAACCATGGACTGGATTATGGTGGAAGGGAATGGCTGTTAGAATTAGCGCTTTTATGTTGATGTTTTTAGTTTATATGATTCTCTCTTTTCTTACGAGATGTTGTTCCCATTTCTGACAAGCTATGTGTGTATTTTGCCTTAGCACACGTTGTCACAGTCCAGCTACATAATAGACTTTGATGTGAGAGCCAGCGTCACGGATGTACTTGAAACATAATGTGACACGAATAAGATCACAAATGCCTCCCGGGAGGATCTCGGCTGCACCACAAGTTTCATTAGAAGCCTCGTTCACAAACCAATCATGAATTTTCTGCACACGCCCGAGCGCTTTAATGCCACGGACATTATCAATGTTGTCTTTTTGATTCTCCAGGGATACCTCCAAAAGATATACTGTACTGTGGTCAGCCTATACGCAACAGCCAAGTGATCCCCCGAGGAAAATCAGCTGTGACATGCTCAGATCAGAGCAAACAAGAGCATGGTCTTGACAGGGAAAGCCCACCAAGCAAACCAAACTGCCATCTGAAATTAGCACTATGTGTACACAATTAAAGATAAATTCATATTGTTTGAGATTAAAGCATCTTATTTGCATACAACGCAAATATGGCGACTCATTCTAGATCAGTTTTTCCTCTAACATCCATCTCCCTCAGTGCGGCCTGTGTGTCGTGTCACAGGGGAATATTGATTTCACTGGCACTTCCAGGGAACGCCTATATTGACTGACTGCCACCAATAAATTGTTGATTGCTGCTTGATGAAAGGGCTTGTGGGTACAGTAAATCCCCCTATCATATCACCATGCACAGAATGTTTCCCCTGAACCTCTTCTCCATCCACCTTTGTCAGCCTAAATTCATCCTGATCTGGTACAACTATAACTAACCCTAACCCTAACCCTAATGTTTAAAGTCCACTCTAACAGTGCTGGTACAGCCAGCAGTTAAAGCTGTGCTGCTGCTGTTGCCAGGGTTATTCTATTGAAGTATGCAGCCTTGTTATTAGATGTGGGCTGCCCGGCAGGCTCAGAGCTGGTGAGGCTCTGCTGCTGCTTGTGCTTGCTCCCAGCAGACTCCCTCGAGTCATTCATCAGTTCAGTGCTCTGTAGTGACGCAGACACAGGCTGATGTTCTGCACAGCTGTCCCTCTGGAGCACAACTTGTGTTTGAAATGAACACTTTTCAAATTGCAGAGACAG